TTTTTTTTTATTTTTTTTTTTTTAATATTTTTTAATAAAAAGTAATTTTTTGTCCAATTTATAGTTTCTCAAAAATTTTATTTTTTTGAAATAAGTTTTTTTCAAAAATGTTAATCGTTTTTAAAAAATAATAATTTTTGGTACGGGAAGTTCCAGCAATTTGCCTTAAGACACGATGCCCTAATTGCCTTAAGACAGAATTCCACTTACAGCTAGTTATATTTTTTATTTTTTTATTTACATTTGTGAATTACAATCTGTCGTTCTAATACAACATTCAGTAATTTCGATGGTTTATTAAATAAAGGAAAAAGGTTGAAAGGTCACCCAGTGGTGATCCGATTCGATGTTGGATATGTCTAGCTTATAGATGTAGTCCTGATATGAAAATATTTAAATAAGCCTAGGAGTAATTGTACATAACAATATATTTTATCGTTCATAAAAAATACAGTAACGACCTTATCGCTCAAAACACTTGAAAAAGTTTACATTAGCAATAGGTGCCGAATAAATCCATCTGAGGTTATATTTTTTACGATTAGAATAACGCATTTGAAATATTTACATTTTCAAACTGGTTTGTGAATTTAAAATTCGAAATTTGAAGTATAAAACTATATTTTTGAAAAAACATTTTTTTTGAAAATTTTGAAATTTGTTTTAACCGTATAAGTAAACCTTAAAAATTAACAATCTTAGTACAGAACCCAACAAAAGTAGTACTCATTTTTGAAAATTTTATCAAATATCTGATAATTTAATGTGCCTATATCTAATGATCATTTATGACCGCCAAATATCGTTTTTTTTACTTTTTCCTCTGTATCTCCAAAATCGCTAGACCTGCCTTAGCAAAAATTTCATCAATGCTTCATTTCGTCAATGCAATAAACATGTTTTTTGAATCATTGAAATCGGATACACCGTTCTTTCAAAAATTGAAATACCGTTTTTGGCTCTTTTTGCCCTGTATATTTGAAATTGATGGACCTGTCCCCACCAAAAACTAATCAGCACGTCTTCTCATCAATAGTAATCGAATGTTCAATGTTTAATCACTCTAATTGGTTGATTTTTGCGCCCAAAATTGTGGACGAAAAATTGTATCCATGTACACACACACATACATCAATTTTTTCTAATTATAAGATATGACAAAATGTTCAGAAACCTTCAAAACGTGAAGAGATGCAAAAATTTTCATTTTCAAATTTTTTGCGATTACTATAACTTACCCCACGGGAAGTTAATAAGTATGTATTTTTTTGCTTTTGTTACATTTTTATCTTTACTTTTTTTCTGCAATAAGTTTTTTTGCACGTGGATCTAATGTCTGACCAATAAAGCCGAATATGTATTGTCAACAAAAGTTGTGCCAAGTTGTGGACTTGTATTGCTTCAGGCGAAAAGATAAACAACTCAATTTCAATCTTATTTATTTTACTAGTGGTATATGGAAAATTGTTTAAACTTCCTGGAGCGTTATTTTTAGAAGCTTTAAAATTTTATGAAAATTTTGAATCTTTTCCAACAAAATTTTTAAAACGTTTGATTTTTAACTTCCCGTAGGGTAGTTATAGTAATGGGCCAAAAATCGAAAACGAAAATTTTTGCATTTCTCGACGTTATGAAGGTTTCTGAACATTTTGGCATACCTCAGAAAAAATGGATGTGTGTGTGTGTTTTGCATGTCCGCATTTTTTGGTGCACGTTTTCGGGCGCACGGATCAACCGATTTGAATGATTTAAAAAATATTCGTTTTTTATTGATAGGAACATGTGCTGACTAGTGTTTAGCAAGGGCATTTCTAGCCGTTATGGAGATATGATCCAAAAACATTGAATTTGTAATGGTTGTGAGAAGTAGTGATTTGCTTTGGCGAATGCAGGTCGAGCCATTTCGAAGATAAAGAGCTAAACGTGCACAAAATGGCAATTTTTGAGAAAACTAAGCATTCGACTTGAATAATTCAAAAAGCTTGTGTTGACGACACAATTGCTTTTGGATTTTTTTTATTTCAAAATTTAATTATTTTTTTCCCGAAAAATATTTTTTGTATATCGAAAATAATTCAGATTTTAATTTTAATTCTGGCTCACTGATGAACTTTAATTAAATGATTTTGACTTTGCAGTTCAGTTCATATAATTCTTATAAATATTAAACTATTAGTTACAGTATTTTTAATAATCTATTTGAAAACATTTAATAATCCTCGAACATTTCCTTTCGGTACGGGAAGTTCTAGCAATTTGCCTTAAGGCGAATGGTTTTTGAATTATTCAAATCGATTGATCCGTATTCCTGAAATCGTCGACAACAATTTGTATCCGCACACATACAAATACATCCGTTTTTTTATAAAGTACGGTTGTCTACCTGAACAATGTTCAGCTTTCAGCAATCCGACTTTTTGTTCGAGCTTGAGAAATGTGCAAGAAGATGGGAATAGTAAATTTAATACACACTTAAATAAGATATTAACCGTTCCTAAAATAGACCAATGTTATGACAAGTCTATATTAAGCTGCGTTTTTCATGTAAAATGGTAATGAAAACTGTCAAAATTCTATGTATTTGCTGAGTGATCAGGCGTTTTGCACATAAGTGCTTACATTTCGCACGTATTATTATGACACACCAGGAAGATGCACTTTTTATATGATTCTTTTTACGTGTGTGCGTTTTCTAGGTTAGATTATTTTATATTCAAAACGCCTAAAGCAAAGCAACCACATAGCATTTTGAAAAATTTTAGTACCATTTTATATGAAAAATGCTACGTAACATAGCCTTGCCATAACTTTAGTTACTACTATTTAGTTTTATACATATGTAATATAAGCTTTTATGTTAACAAATAAGTAAAATAAAATGATAAAAATTTTGAAATTTTCAAGATAAACAAATATGTGATTGACGAATATATTCGTCATAAGCTTGATTCAGACGACCCAAAACTATGCGCACTCTCATATAAGAGCGCCACCGTTCATTGGTTAGAAAGGTTCGTATAAGAAATGCACGAACTTTGGACGTGTACTTACTGATGGCGTTAGTGAATAATTTTCAACAATACTCATATGTAAGAGTGGAAACAACTTCTAGGATGAATTTATATTTTTTCATTCAAAAAGTTAATCCAGGTATCCAGCTTAATATTAAAAGCTATTATTATTACTGCCAAAAAATAATCTAATACTCCAACGATCAGTAAAAAACAAAATGCACAACAGAATATTTTTTGACAATAATTGAGTCGCGAGTTCTAATTCAATACTATGTTCTTGAAGTATGTGATCTCAATAACATCTTCAATACTAGTCATGAAATAATTTTATATAAAAATATGAGCACAGTGGATTTGTTGAATACTTATTTTGTTTTTTAAAATTCTGGCGTTAACAAACGTATCAATTTGTAATTAGTACTTACATGGTAGCCAAAGAATTATGATTATCATATCATATCCAGAGGTTCTTCGTGGCTCTGTCCTAAGAGCCGTGGCTTTACAACCAAGCTTTCAAGTTCGAACCAACTCCGGCCACCTAGAAATCAAGCAGTTACTTAATAGTTGAAAATATGTTTCGCAGTAAAAGTGGCCCTACATTGCTGGGTCAATCAGCAGTATTAAAGGTCTAGTTCAAGCAATAAAACCATTGAGTTGCGATTTGAAAAGGTGAAGATCGTAGTTACAAAGTATCATCACAAGAATTGAAAAAAATTCATAGTTTCTGATTGCTATTCTAAAAGAAATCTGAACTACACTTTGAACCTTCATAAACCGACTAATGTTTTATCAAACATTTCTGGATTTATATATAATTTTTTATTTTGCATTTTGTTTTGATATTTTAGTAAATGATTAAAATATTATAAAAAGTATACCTACTGTCCTTTTTGTTTCATTTTGGTGTTTTAATGAATGATAAAATATAAAATGTATTCTGTCCTTTCTGATTTGTTCTATAGTATGATATGTATATCTTTTTTTCAAATAATGAAACATGTTCAACAATTATTGTATAATATTGCATGAATTATGGCACATATCAAGTATGAAAACATAATTATAAAGGTATTAATATATACTAATTTCTTCGTGTAAACATTTTTTATTTAATTAATTATAAGAAAACTTACCATGGATATCCAGAAATATGCAGAATTCTTCATTAAAACAAAAAATAAAAAAATAAAGAAATTCGAATTTAAGAGGTTTCATCCATATCGAAATGTGAAAATATAGTGAAAAAATCGTAGAAAAATTATGAAATATCTTTTAATGATTTGAAATACACATTTTATAAGGTAAAACTATTCCGTTTACACCGATTTGTAGTAATGTTATGAATTATATGCGCGCGCTAAAGTAAAATGAATGCGAAAGGTTTTTATCAAGTGTCTTGTTCTTTTGCAGTATATTTTGTGCAGTTCAACTATACGTACGTTTTCCACAATTTCCATAAAAATAAATTGAAATATATTTGAATTTATGAAAATACTTCAAAAAAAGTTTTTGTTTTAATAAAAAATTAAATATTAGTAAAGCAATTGTAGCAATGCAGTGATTGTGATTGGATTAGTGAAATTCTTGAAAAATTATTCATATTTGTCATTTAATGATAATATATATATATATATATATATATATATATGTAAATAAACTTCTATATTCTTTATATTCTATATTTTATATTCTTTAAAATGAGTACGATTTTGATCGACTATATCTAATGGCAGAAATTGCAAATTGCTTTGTTTATGTATTTCCTATCATGTAAATTAAAATAGATAAAAGGAACCTATTATTAGTATCTACGAAGCAATATTATATACTTTCATAGCAAAATACTATAATCAATAACATATTGTACTAATAATATCTATATTTAATAATATGAGCTGTAATAATTTATATATCTTGTATTAGATTATATAGTTAAATATGAGCAAAGTGATTAAATGACTACAAAAGAAGTAAATATAGTTCATAATGATTGAATTGACATTAAAAGTTTTAATATTGGCAATATCTTTGTCGACCTTGACACTTGGCGCCAAAACTGATTTCGATCAGGAAGAAGAAAAAGCTGCCAATTTTTTAGAGTTAATAGAACAGCCCAATATAGATTGGTATAATCGTATAGGACTAGCCAATTGGGATTATAACACTAATATAACGAAAGAAAATGCAGAGAAAAAGGTTTGTAAAAAATATTTTTATCTGTTTATGTTGTAAATATAATATAATATAACATAACATCTATTTAAATTGCTAAAATAAACTCTTTGCCAATCACAAATTGCAAACGAATTTTACTTCTAATAACATCTAGTACTACAACTTTTTATTCTAGAAAAAAGTAAATGCAGAATATGCTTTATATAGAAAGCTCCAACTTGCAGAAGCTTCAAAATTCAATTGGAGGCAATTTAAAGATGAAGATCTTAAAAGACAGTTCAAGCTTCATCTTAAATTAGGAGATAGTATTTTAAATGAACATAAATATCGTCGACTGCAAGATATTCAAAATGAAATGAAAACAAATTATGCAACTGCAAAGATATGCGATTATAAGAATAGAAAAAAGTGCGATTTGGAATTGGATTCAGGTAAAACTATTTTAAAAGACTGATAATTTTATTTTTAATTCATAGATATTTGATATTTTTTTAAACAAGTAATTAGATTTGATTTTGCAAATGATTAATCAATTAAAAATTATCAAAATGTTACTAAAATAGAAAGAACTATACACTTTTTTGTTAAACATTTATGCAATTGCCTAGTATTTTACTTTAGTTAACAATTAGTTTTTTTATTATCATTCTTTTCTTTCATAATCATCATAATACGGATATCATTTCGATGTAAATACTATCCTTTATTTTGTACTCTATTTCATTTATATTTATGTTATTTTTTTATTTCATTTATATTTATTGTATTGTGTAATTAAAAAAAATTAGGAGTGCCATAAAAAAATTAAAATTAAATTTCTTGTCTGATCAATCATTTCAATGTTATACGAGAGTTATAACCATTAATTTGAAAATTTTGGTATCTTTCAGATAAAAATAATTTACATCCAATAATCAGACGTATAAATATACATAATTTGAAATTAATAAATTTTAATTACAAATGGCTACAATATTGTAAATTGTTAATTAACAATAATACCATTATTGTAAATTAATTAATACCATTTTTAAAGATTATTGAATAAAAACAACAATTTTTATTCAATAATTAAGAGAATAAATCTACTAGAATCGTAATTTTTTGTAATTTATTCCATTTTGAAGATTACTTAAAAAACAACAATATTCTAACAAAATTTTGCCTACGTAAATTGTTTAGAGAAATTTTGGTAATGATATTATAAATCAGGAATTATTTTTTATCCAACTAGAATCTAGTATAAAATATTTAGTTTGTTGAATTATTTACAGAACATGCCACATTCATCATTAATATTTCAAAACTTTTGAAGTGTTCTAAATTTTTCGAAATATTCAGAACTCAAACTCTAAAAATCATTTTCAAAAAAAGAAAAAAAAAAATTAATAAGTTGTAGAGTGTATGAAACATTAACATAATGATATTTCAGTTTATCCAAAAACTTTCGCTTGCAAAATTTTCCTTATTGTACAAAATTCTATATATTTCACGAATAATATTATGGCAATTAAATTGTCAAACTCGATAAAACACCAAGTATGCCTGATTAAAAAATAAAAGATTATGAATTATATCTAGTTCAATCTTGTTCCAGATGTGAACGAAATCTTTGCAAAAAGTAGAAATGCAAAAGAATTACAGTACGTTTGGGAACAATGGAGAAACGTGGCCGGAGCTCCAATTCGAAAATTATATTCAGAGTATGTTGAATTGAAAAACGAAGCAGCTCGACTTAATAGTGAGTGAATATTCAAAGAACGAAGAAATTATTTATAATAAAACAAAGAAAATGCTCTGCTTTTGCATATTCATGACCTTAGATTAACGAAAGTTTTACTTGCAATAGATAAGTCGCGTAGTTATATATGCAAAGTTTATGAATATCTAAAAATAATAACGAAATTATATTGCTAAATAATATTTATGTGTAATATATTAAAAAACGTAGATTTTATTTTCAAGAACATATTGACAATTACAGGGATATTTGAATATGTAAATTGTGTAGGAAATACGGAACTACTCAATTTACTCACTTGACAAGTCACTTGAAGCCTAAATTAAGGTCAAAAATAATAGCGAAAACAATTTTAGTGATGATAATATACAATTGTCATTTGTATTGACAATATTTGCTTTTGGACACTGTTAAAAATTCAGGAAGTTTAAAAACTGCGAAGAAAACAAGATTTTAATAAAGGCAATAAATAATAATTTTTATTTAAATTATTGCAATGAAAAAAGGAGAGCGAAAACTGCTATTTTTATAAAAATGTTTAGCATTAAATCAATTAAAATTAATTAATAAAAATTAATTATAAACACACATTTGTAAAAATGTTTTAAGAGGGCGTCTATTAATCACTTGGGTTTTTTTATGGGAAGGGGGGGTGGTAGGTTTAACAAATACTACGAAGTATCACGTAATAGTATCACGAGTATAGTAAATTATCACGTGTATTAATATTTTAATTAATTTTTTTTAAAAAAGTTCAAACATTCAAAACGTAAACAAAAATACACCTGATGTTTGGTGGGGAAGGAGGGGTAATTTTGAATATCACCATGTATCACCAAGGGGGAGAGGGGTCAAAAAATCCTTAAAAACAAGCCCCGCTAAAATATTTGAATATGTACATTTCTTAATGTAATGTAAGGCTGTGTTATCTTTACAAATATTATACAAATTTAAAAAGACTATTTTTGCGTCGACTATATTATTTTCACACCTTTTTCTGCAGTTGTTTATACTTTTACACTTCTGTCTCTTTTTCTCCATTTTTTCTCCAATCTGAATAGAAGCATTATTCTTTACCGAAACTAAACAATTTGCTCCAAAAATGTACTAGAAGAATACTTTGCTCAAAATATGTACTAGAAGTTAATTATATACACAGATCTCTTGAAGACGATCTCTATTATTATGAAAGGCTACGCTCTCAATAAAAATGCCAATATAAAGGTAAACGACGAAATACACTTATTATTTTCAAACCCTTTATCTCACAATTGTTTATAGTTTCACTTACATACATTTCACATTATAAATTTTTGTCTCTACTTTCAGTTTCCTATAAATTTTACTCTCGATAACTAGTATTCTTCTCCAACAAAGTAATTTTAGTGACTTTAGTTGAGGATTCGTGCAGCATGCACTTTTATAGCATGGATCCGATTCAGTCTCTTTTTTCACAACCAAAAACTTAATATATATAATAATATATATTATTATTGTTTCATACATTTAGATTACACCGACGTTGCCGAAATGTGGCTATCAGAATACGACACTAAGGATTTCGAAGATGAGCTTTCCAGTATATTAAGGGAATTGAAACCTTTATACAACCAACTTCACGCTTATGTTCGATATAAGTTAAGAAGACATTATTCTGTAGAAGTGGTATCAGAACGAGGCCCAATTCCGGCTCATTTGCTAGGCAACAATTGGGCGCAAAATGGTCTCAAATTGAAGATATTGTTAAACCGTATCCGGACGCAAATGGGGCAGATATAACACCGAAATTATTAGCACAAGTAAAATTCCAAAAAAAATTTGGACAAATATTCTACTAACTATACCTTATCAAATTACATCGAATGGTATTTAAATTTTGGAAATCAGTGTAGCCGTTTTTGAGCAATCGGCGGTGGAAGGTGTAAAATTGCATAACTTTTTCTAAATATTGTCTCAAATGATTCAGAATGATTTGACATACCATACATAAAATTGTAAAATCGGATTTTCTGTCAAAACAAATACTAATACTTGGGAAAATTAGAAACAATAAAACTGATATGGATTTCATGCTTCACTAAACAATATACATTAATACGGATAAAAATACTGATAATAATTAAATTATTGACGATTGTTAAAAATATGTACAATTTGCTAGTTTTAATATTTGAGTAGTGCGGGGCACAAAGGTCCAATTTGTGTTTGAGCAATTATATTGTTAAAACCAAACCAATTATATCAAAACAAATTGCACATATCTATCAAACAATCAACAGTCTGACAATGTTCAGTAAAACTCCCAGCAAATACATTATTGTAAAAATGTTTTTTCTTTGCTCTTATTCAAAATTTTTTCACACAAGTCCAATTTGACTTTGAGCAAAAATATTCTGAAAACCAAACCATTTATATCACAACAAATTGCACGTATCAAACAAACAACTATCTGACTATGTTCAGTAAAACTCCCAGTAAATTCATGTGGAAATGTTTTTTTGCTGTTATTCAAAATTTTGCCACAAAGGTCCTATTTGATTTTGAGCAATCATATAGTGAAAACCAAACCAATTATATTACAACAAATTGCACATATCAAATAAACAACAATCTGACTATGTTCAGTAAAACTCCCAGCAAATTCATCATTGTGAAAATATTTTTTTTGTTGGTATTCAAAATTTTACCACCTAGTCCTGTTTATTCCATAGGCTGGATAAAAAGGACAGCCATTGGGAAAACAGATACAATGTCCTATCTTTAATTCTAAAGGGGTTGAACGAAATAATAGCTACATTATTTACAGGGTACATTTTTTACAGGGACGACATTGTATTCAGCATTGATCCAGTATTTTGTCAGAAATAATCATAAGCATAGTTAAAATAAGTCTGTATTTAAATTATCTCTTGTTGAATTGCTTTTGTTAACTTAATTAACTATTTTTTATTGTTTACACCTTTACCAGGATAATGGTTCAGTTGGTCCTCTTTACCCCACCCAAATAAAAGCTTTTATAGAAGTTATTTTTTAAACTGTTAAATCTAACTTAAAATTAACAAAATATTATAAAACAAGTAAATAACGCTTACCAACAAGTTTTATTAAGATCTCGTAAACTAAACAACAGTGCTCACAACCAAAATAACCAACAATGAACAAAATAGTTTTGTTATGGATTTTTAAACATTGCCGCTTACCTCCTGATAGCGGCGTGATGGCTGATTATACATCTTTTTCCCTCTACTTTCAAATATTGTTGTTGAACAATTCCTAACTTTACTTGGTTTTAAGATAACGGTGGTGGATCTTTTTACCCATCTTCTACTCCAGATATCTCATTTTATTTCAATAACATAATTTGTACGTTGTTTCTCAAATATACTAACAACACCTATAGTAAGTAGGTACTCTGTCATCAATAAATATTTGACTAATTAATATTCAAATCATATCAAATTTAATGATAATGAACTCAAATATTATTCTAGAACTATACACCACGAAAATTGTTTGAATTGGCAAATGACTTCTTTAAGTCAATAAACTTGACGGGTGTGCCGGATTCCTTCTGGGAGAAATCTGTTGAAAAAACCAAATGATGGGCGCAAAGTTGTTTGTCATGCAAGTGCCATGGATTTAGCAAAAGACTCGGATGTTAGGTAAATTAAACAAAAATATTTATTTAATAAAAAATAATAGATTAGAACGTAAATTTCAGTACAATATACATAATACGAATTCATTTTCAGTTTTCTTAAATACACTGAACTAGTAATATATTTTTGCTTTATTTTCTACTCTAATTTTGAGATAAGTTGTTCTTCAATATCTTGTAAAAACAGTTCTCTCTGGTTTAAAAGTTGATAATACTAGTA